GAAAACCAGAGAAAGAGAGAGAGACCAGAGAGAGAGAGAGACCAGAGACAAAAGAGAGAGAGACCAGAGAAAACCAGAGAAAGAGAGGGAGACCAGAGAGAGAGAGACCAGAGACAAAAGAGAGAGAGACCAGAGAAAGAGACCAGAGAAAGAGAGAGAGAGACCAGAGACAAAAGAGAGAGAGACCAGAGAAAGAGAGAGAGACCAGATAAAGAGACCAGAGAGAGAGAGAGACCAGAGACAAAAGAGAAAGACCAGAGAAAGAGACCAGAGAAAAGAGAGAGAGACCAGAGACAAAAGAGAGAGACCAGAGAAAAAGAGAGAGCTGGGATAAAGAGTGAGACCAGAGAGAGACTAGAGAAAACCAGTGAGAGACGATGGATACAAGAGTGAGACCAGAGAAAGCCAGAAAAAGAGACCAGAGAGAGAGCGAGAGACCTGGGACTGGAAAGAAAGACCAGAAAGACCAGAAAGACCAGAAAGACCAGAGAAAACCCGAGAGACCAGATAGAATCTCTTTATCATGAACTATGACAACTTTCTCATCCTCGTGGAGCAATCCAGACTCTTTCTCACACAGAGACATGTTTTCTCTGCAGGTTGGGGTCTGATTTCTCCACAACATTTAACTTTTAGTAGTATCTCTCTCTCTGACCAAACTGCTGCATATCCGTTTTTAGATCCACGGCGTTTTCTCCTCTCCACGCTGTAAAAAACGCAGTCCTTTCAAAGCTTAATTCATCTGCTCTGCTCTTTCAATCCTTTGACGCGACAAACTGCCGTCTCCCATTACGGCTCCACATATTCATAATTCCAGCCTCGGTTTGAAAAGGGTCTAATTAAACCAACTCTGATTTGAGTCCAATTAAGTGCGAGCGAAGTCTCCAAAGAACTGCCTGTTTAAAAAAGAAAAAACCTCATTTGCATTTTATAATTCCGTTTGTGCGGTTGGCGTTTGAAGAAGCATTTGAAATGCTGTTTGTGTTTTTGGGAAACAGAAGGTTTTGTGAGTTTACATCAGAATCAGAAATATTATATCTGTGACACATGTGGTTGAGGAAAATCAGATTGTATTATTACCAGAAACTATTCAAACTCCCAAAGCCAACGTTTTGACTGCTCTCGTTCAAACAAATGGAATTTTGAGAAATTCACTGCAAGTTTTTCACCAGATTTCTTTAAAGTTAATAATTTATAAGTATAACATTTACTCACTTTTAAGAAGAGCTAAACTGGTGAATAAAACTTTACTACGGCAAAAAGGCTATTGCTAACTCCTTTAGGTAAACATTGTGTTGCTACGGTAACTAGCACTTCCCCTTCTCAGATGAAAAACCCTGAGAAAGAGACCCTGAAAAAAGACCATGACTAAGCAGTTTTTTAAGGTTACCAAGTGATTAAAAAGGCCTGGGGGAGTCAAAATGAAGGCTTTGAGAGCTAAAAGTAGAGCTCCTCATGTTGAAAAAATAAAAGAATAAAAAAAAACTTGAAGAGGAATCAAAAAAGTCACATTTTTGAAGCGGGCGGATTTAACAGTTTCTGAAATGATCGAGGAGTTCCACAAGGTTCGATCTTGGGCCCTTTATTATTCATGTGGAAATACAGAACTTTCTCTTGGTCTGATTTTCAAAATATTAGACGATGAAGTTTTGTGCCGGGTAAAAGTGAATACATGCATCAGTAAATCTTTGTCTTGAGTTTAGAAAATGTTGATATTTTACAACGAGCATTTTAGTTCTTTTTCCAATGCAGCAGCAATTGACCCTTTTTTATTCCAAGATAAGTAACAAAACAGTTTTTCTTGTCCCATTCTATTGTTGCCTTTCTTGGGTTTGTGTTTGATTTTCTGATCTGTGTTGGCAAATCAGCAGGTTTGTAAAGTCCTTAGAGATAACTGCTGTTGTGATGTAAGCCGATACAAAAAACATTGAATTGAATTGAACTCTTGGACAGAAAGATCCAGAATTATTTGTCGTTGTACGTAACAGGAAGTCACAAACTAGCAGTGTTGGGCACGTTACTTTGAAAAAGTAATTAGTTATAGTTACTAGTTACTTCTCCCAAAAAGTAACTGAGTTACTAACGGAATTACTCCACTATAAAAGTAACTAGTTACCAGTAAAAGTAACTATTGCGTTACTTTTTTAGTTTTGTTCTGGAACATAATGTGCACCCGACGTGCGCATTTTTACCTTTAACAGTGCCAATATTTCCATCTAGAAAAGGCTGTTTTTGCTGCTGAAGTCCTGTTCACTCTTCATCTCTCTCTGTGCTGTAAGCACTAAATACAAACACCCCCCACTGTGAATGTGGAAACACCGGTGAAGCACTGACTTCAGCCCAATCAGATGAACATATATATCATATAAATCAAGTGGACAGTTTGTTTGGCTACAGCAAAATATGTTTCATGCCCACATTGTTTGTTCAAACAAAACACAAAACTATGAGTTATGGGTCTTACCTTATAAATGACCTGCACAGACCACTTCAGTTCAGACCAGTTCAGTGTTTAAGTCCAGTTAATGGTTTGAGCGTAGATATGTAATCCTCCATTTGGAAATGAGTCCAATGAGTTTTAAAAAGTAAAACAAAACGCGTGTGTCCTCCATAAACTCCTCTGTTTTGCTGCAACCGGGTGCATCCAATTTCTAAAACCAACGTCTTACACTTCACCTCTTTCTTATCATTCCTATAGTCATTGAAAAATTACCCTAAGTGCATTTTAGATTATCTTAAAATATGTTATATGTATGTTAGCCAAACCTGTTGCTGTCCTTAGCAGATAAACCAGGAAGAGAAAGGAGCTTTCTGATGGAATTGTATGCAGCCGACTTCTGCGCTCACATGCGCTCCTCTGAGGCTGGCCTCACGGTGATACAAGCCGTGGTTGAGCGCGACTAAGACCCATATTTGTTTCAAAAACACAATTTATGAGCATCCTCTCAACTGTAGACATGTGGATTGTAAAGGAAATATGTTTTACATCAGCCAATAATTGCTGAGAGGTTTTCTCATCCTCCCTTCTCTCATGACAACACGTTCATTGTGCGTCTTGAGTAACGCGCAGTAACGGGATGTCGGAAATGATAACGGCGTTATAGTTACAGTCAAAGTAATTAGTTAGATTACTCGTTACTGAAAAAAGTAACGGCGTTAGTAACGCCGTTACTAATAACGCCGTTATTCCCATCACTGCAAACTAGGAAAAAAATCTTTCTTGAAATGACTAATCTTACTTTCCCAAACGAGTGGTGCAGCGAGAAGGTCCTGGGTTCGATTCCACCTCCAGACAGGGCCTTTGTGTGTGGAGTTTGCACGTTCTCCCTGTGTCTGCGTACTCTCCACCACTAAAGACATGTGCAGTAGTTCTGACAGGATGGAGATGGTCGGAGGCTGCAGTGCGTCTCGCTTCTGTCCTCGCCGTGTGCGGAGAGAATGGAACAATATCTGTACATCGTAAAGTGCTTAGTGCGACCTTGGTCCGTGAAATGCGCTACATAAACAAAGTGTTCTTACTCACAAAAGGCAGTAATGGGCTTCTTCTCGTCTCGTTGTGTTTCTGTCGCCGACAAATCACATCAGGTTGAACTGATGCGAGAAACATTTAGCCAATAAACTCTCTGGTCCTACCCCTACTATGAGAACCTGAGAGAGGACAGTCCCCAGAGTAAATATTCTCTGCCGATCTGTCGTCTGCAGAACATTAGAAAAGTTCAAAGATGGATGACATTGGACAGACCTGATGCTTCTGTTACAGCCAGACCATAGTAACTCTCAACACGTGTCCATTGGAGGATTTCCGGACAAACTCACTGTATTGCTATTTGCAGGGTTAGCCCGGAACTCTGAGTAACCCGGACCATTTAAGTGAACGGACCGGCGCTTCCGGGTTCTTTTCTGTAAACAAGGGCGCATATAAGTTATGTACGTGCGCTCTAGTATAGTTGTACCCGCGATCTAAAGACTGAGGAGGCAGCCGGTAAGACCTGCTTGTGTGTACAGACTTTCTATGGTGCGATCAGCTGCGTGTATGTGTGTGTGCGCTGCTCAGTCACGGGTGAGGAGTCTGGCTTCCGTGCCGGCTCGGGCATTTAAACTGTGGGAGCGCGGGACATTGGGGCAGTGCAATAGTGGTGTAATGTTAATCATGAGTTGTGTTTAAGTGCTAGTGTATACAATTGCTATGAGTTAAGGCTGTTTTATGAATATGCATTATTGATAATTGTTAAAATCATGGGAATTGTTTGCTAAAGCTAATATAATGAACTTATAACAGTATTAATGAATTTGCATCTGTGTACAGAATTATTGAATATTCCATTTTTAATTGTGCTAATTTGGGGAAATTCATTAATTCACTGAGATGTATTAATCATGCTAAATTTAATTGTTTGGGTCAATTGTAATTTGGGTTTCTGATGTTGGGTATTGTCTGTGTTCTTCTAAAGGTTTTTTACCTGTTTGCTGTCCTAAACTGTTCTGCTGCTTTGCTCTGCATCTGCTGCTTGCTGCTTATGCTCGGGCGGCACGGTGGCTGAGTGGATAGCACTCTCGCCTCTCAGCAAGAAGGTCCTGGGTTCGAATCCCGGCCGGACCAGGGCCTTTCTGAGTGGAGTTTGCATGTTCTCCCCGTGTCTGCGTAGGTTTCCTCCGGGTACTCCGGTTTCCCCTACCACTAAAAATATGTACAATAGTTCTGGCATGCGCCTCCTGTACTGGCGACCCCGCTCCCATCTCTGTGTGGAGTGAGAGGACAAATGCCCAAAAAATAACAATTGTAAACCGCTTTGTGACTCTGGTCTGTGAAAGGCGGTATATAAATAAAGCTTACTTACTACTTACTTACTGATGTACAAAATAAACTGCAAAATAAAAGGAGAAAATTTTAGACTAATTTTGGACTGAGTAAATTCCTCTGATATCCTCAAGTTGCAGGAACAACCCCCTTTCAGCGCGGGGGAAATCACCAAATTAAGAAAACGCTTGACACTCACACCTTACAAAGTACAATAATACAATATATTGTTTTTAAAGCCCTCTGTGGTCTCTCCCTCTGTGGTCTCGCCCTCTGTGGTCTCGCTCTCTGTGGTCTCGCCCTCTGTGGTCTCGCCCTCTGTGGTCTCGCCCTCTGTGGTCTCGCCCTCTGTGGTCTCTCCCTCTGTGGTCTCGCCCTCTGTGGTCTCGCCCTCTGTGGTCTCGCTCTCTGTGGTCTCGCCCTCTGTGGTCTCGCCCTCTGTGGTCTCGCCCTCTGTGGTCTCTCCCTCTGTGGTCTCGCCCTCTGTGATCCCGGAGGTCCTCAGCTCAGCCCAGGAACAGGTCCAAACACTGCGGAGACCGGCCCTTCTCAGTCCTGGACCCAGACTCCGGAACAAGTTGCCCTCTGATATGCCGGTCCTCACTCATTTTGGACTTTTTAATGCGAGGCAAAAAACTCATTTATTTAGACTGGCTTTTAACACTCATTAGCGGTGGCCATTTTTAAATGCTTTTATTTTTCTCCTGATTGTACGAATGTTTTAATGGATTTTACGTGATCTTATCGTAGCACTTTGGTCGCTGTGGGTGTTTTAAAGTGCTCTATTAGACTAACAGGACTGTCTGAAATATGAACTTGAATATGAACACACAGTCTGACGCTCTGGTGTTAGCTGTTTTTCAAATAACTTTTTAAAGTATTTTGGGGAAACGTCCCTGAACCCAAAAAAGTAGTCAATTATCATGTATTTTCAAAAAGGAATGGGAATGACCAGATTCCTGTAGCCTTAAAGAACAGATCATAAATGATTTTGGAGCGGAAACCCTTCCCTCCTGCTTTGCGTCAGTGCTGTCTGAGTTGTTATTGAGTCAAATTCCCGAAAACACCTACGATGGCTGAACAATAACAGCCCCAAAGGGCCACTCGCCCTGTCGTGTTTAAGAACAGAACCTCAGAGGAAAGGTGTTGAATGCTTTGCTCTGTCCTCACTTCCTGACGTTCATGACAGTTCCATAAATCCTCCACACGTGTGACACATGTGATCATGGAGAATGGTGTGTGGTAATGTAGCCGCGACATCAAGGACTCTTTATGGATCTGAACCTCCTCCAGCTGAAATACTGCTCCACACATGAGCCGAGGAGATGCGGCCCTGACATGGTTTACTGCACGACGTGAAAAATGGAGTATGAGACGACCGGAACGCACCCAAGCTTTAATCTAAGGAGAAGCCGGAGACAGAACTTCAGACGCAGTCGTAAAGAACGTCCTGTGGTCGGAGGCAAAACTTTGGTCCTGAGAAGATGTGACGTCACAGTCTGAGGAGTCATCGCAGTGAGGAGTTTGAAAGCCAATGAAAGAAGGAAACGATACATGTGTTTTGCACGTAAGGACAGAAAACTGCTCTGAGTGTGATGTCATAGTGATGTCATAGTTGTACGATGACATCATATTCAGACAGGAGAAACTCCAGGTCTGACTGACAGAGACAGATCTCATCCCATTACAGAGGTAGATCAAGTCTACCTGAAAAGACCTGTGTAAAACTAAAGCATTGTTAGCAATACAACTGAAAGATTACCGCTAGTTCCGCGTCCGAAAGTAGTCTGAGCGTAGATAGTCCGAGCGTGGATAGTCCGAGCATATATAGTCAGAGCGTAGATAGTCAGAGCGTAGATAGTCCGAGCGTAGATAGTCCGAGCGTAGATAGTCCGAGCGTAGATAGTCCGAGCGTAGATAGTCCGAGCGTAGATAGTCAGAGCGTAGATAGTCCAAGCGTAGATAGTCCGAGCGTAGATAGTCCGAGCGCAGATAGTCAGAGCGTAGATAGTCCGAGCGTAGATAGTCAGAGCGTAGATAGTCCAAGCGTAGATAGTCCGAGCGTAGATAGTCCGAGCGTAGATAGTCCGAGCGTAGATAGTCCACAAGCGTAGATAGTCCGAGCGCAGATCAGTCCGAGCGTAGATAGTCCAAGCGCAGATAGTCCGAGCGTAATACTCCGAGCGCAGATAGTCCGAGCGTAGATAGTCCAGGCGTAGATAGTCCGAGCGTAGATAGTCCGAGCGTAGATAGTCCGAGCGTAGATAGTCTGAGCCTAGATAGTCCGAGCGTAGATAGTCCGAGCGTAGATATCCGAGCGTAGATAGTCCGAGCGTAGATAGTCCCAGGCGTAGATAGTCCGAGCGTAGATAGTCCGAGCGTAGATAGTCAGAGCGTAGATAGTCCGAGCGCAGATAGTCCGAGCGTAGATAGTCTGAGCGTAGATAGTCTGAGCGTTTAGATAGTCCGAGCGTAGATAGTCCGAGCGTAGATAGTCCTGAGCGTAGATAGTCCGATCCGTAGATAGTCCGAGCGTAGATAGTCCGAGCGATAGATAGTCCGACGTAGATAGTCCGACCGTAGATAGTCCGACCGTAGATAGTCCGACCGTAGATAGTCTGAGCGTAGATAGTCCGAGCGTAGATAGTCCCAGCGTAGATAGTCCCACGTAGATAGTCCGAGCGTAGATAGTCCGAGCGTAGATAGTCCGAGCGTAGATAGTCCGAGCGTAGATAGTCCGAGCGTAGATAGTCCGAGCGTAGATAGTCCGTAGCGTAGATAAAGTCCGAGCGTAGATAGTCCGAGCGTAGATAGTCCGACGTAGATAGTCCGAGCGTAGATAGTCCGAGCGTAGATAGTCCCAGCGTAGATAGTCCGACCGTAGATAGTCCGAGCGTAGATAGTCCGAGCGTAGATAGTCCGAGCGTAGATAGTCCGAGCGTAGATAGTCCGAGCGTAGATAGTCCGAGCGTAGATAGTCCGAGCGTAGATAGTCCGAGCGTAGATAGTCCGAGCGTAGATAGTCCGAGCGTAGATAGTCCGAGCGTAGATAGTCCGAGCGTAGATAGTCCGAGCGTAATAGTCCGACCGTAGATAGTCCGAGCGTAGATAGTCCGACCGTAGATAGTCCGACCGTAGATAGTCTGAGCGTAGATAGTCCGACCGTAGATAGTCCGACCGTGAGATAGTCCGAGCGTAGATAGTCCGAGCGTAGATAGTCCGAGCGCAGATAGTCCGACCGTAGATAGTCCGACCGTAGATAGTCCGAGCGCAGATAGTCCGAGCGTAGATAGTCCGAGCGTAGATAGTCCGAGCGTAGATAGTCCGAGCGTAGATAGTCCGAGCGTAGATAGTCCGAGCGTAGATAGTCCGAGCGTAGATAGTCCGAGCGTAGATAGTCCGAGGCGGTCCCGCAGGTCTCTCCCATAGACCAGTCTCTCCAGAGGATACGATGTAAGCTAGCTCTGTTCAGGGCTTGGTTTCTTCTTTGATCATGTTTAGCTTTAGTTCCTCTTCTCTTCCTCACTGTTGTGTGGTTTGGGCTGTTTTGCTGAGTCTGCAGTTACAGCCAGAGGAGTTATAGCCACTTATGCTAACATGCTACTGTGTTTAGCAGCGCTCTAGAGGCTAGAGGACGCAGCCTGCATCAATGAGCTCAAGTTTTCAATGAAATTACTGATTCTAATACAACTTCTATGTAGTAATACAAAAAGATTATGAACTTATTAGAAAATAAATTGGGTATAGCGTCTTTAACAAACTGTGTGTGTGTGTGTCTATATGTGTGTGTGTGTTTGTGTCTATGTGTGTGTGTACTGGCCTCTCTCTCCAGTCTCAGACACAGCAGACCTCTCCTTGTTAGTTCACACACAAACACAGGTCCTGAACCTGAAATCTGTGACGAGCCAGGGGGGGTAATGAGGGATGATGAGGGTGAGGAAGGTCAAGAGGGATGAAGAGGGGTGAGGAGGGGTGAGGAGGGATGAGGAGGGAATGAAGAGGGGTGAGGAGGGATGAAGAGGGGTGAGGAGGGAGAAGAGGGGTGAGGAGGGGTGAGGAGGGGTGAGGAGGGATGAAGAGGGGTGAGGAGGGGTGAGGAGGGATGAAGAGGGGTGAGGAGGGGTGAGGAGGGATGAGGAGGGGTGAGGAGGGTGAGGAGGGGTGAGGAGGGGTGAGGAGGGGTGAGGAGGGATGAAGAGGGGTGAGGAGGGGTGAGGAGGGGTGAGGAGGGGTGAGAAGGGATGAGGAGGGGTGAGGAGGGGTGAGGAGGGGTGAGGAGGGGTGAGGAGGGGTGAGGAGGGATGAAGAGGGGTGAGGAGGGGTGAGGAGGGGTGAGGGGGATGAGGAGGGGTGAGGAGGGGTGAAGAGGGGTGAGGAGGGGTGAGGAGGGATGAAGAGGGGTGAGGAGGGGTGAGGAGGAGGAGGGTGAGGAGGGGTGAGGAGGGATGAAGAGGGGTGAGGAGGGATGAAGAGGGGTGAGGAGGGATGAAGAGGGGTGAGGAGGGATGAAGAGGGGTGAGGAGGGTGAGGAGGGGTGAGGAGGGATGAAGAGGGGGGTGAGGAGGGATGAAGAGGGGTGAGGAGGGATGAAGAGGGGTGAGGAGGGGTGAGGAGGGGTGAGGAGGAGTGAGGAGGGGGGTGAGGAGGGGTGAGGGGGTGAGGAGGGATGAAGAGGGGTGAGGGTGAGGGGGGTGAGGAGGGTGAGGAGGGGTGAGGAGGGGAGTGAGGAGGGGTGAGGAGGGGTGAGGAGGGATGAGGAGAGGGATGAGGAGGGGTGAGGAGGGGTGAGGAGGGATGAAGAGGGGTGAGGAGGGGTGAGAGGGGGGTGAGGAGGGGTGAGGAGGGATGAAGAGGGGTGAGGAGGGGTGAGGAGGGTGAGGAGGGGTGAGGGGGTGAGGAGGGGTGAGGAGGGGTGAGGAGGGAGAGGGGGTGAGGAGGGTGAAGAGGGGAGAGGAGGGTGAGGAGGGGTGAGGAGGGATGAAGAGGGGTGAGGAGGGATGAATGAAGAGGGGTGAGGAGGGGTGAGGAGGGATGAAGAGGGGTGAGGAGGGATGAAGAGGGGTGAGGAGGGGTGAGGAGGGGTGAGGAGGGGTGAGGAGGGGTGAGGAGGGATGAAGAGGGGTGAGGAGGGATGAAGAGGGGTGAGGAGGGGTGAGGAGGATGAGGGGGGTGAGGAGGGGTGTAGGAGGGGGTGAGGAGAGAGGGGTGAGGAGGGGTGAGGAGGGGTGAGGAGGGATGAAGAGGGGTGAGGAGGGGTGAGGAGGGATGAAGAGGGGTGAGGAGGGATGAAGAGGGGTGAGGAGGGGTGAGGAGGAGTGAGGAGGGGTGAGGAGGAGTGAGGAGGGATGAAGAGGGGTGAGGAGGGGTGAGGAGGAGTGAGGAGGGATGAAAAGGGGTGAGGAGGGGTGAGGAGGAGTGAGGAGGGATGAAGGGGGTGAGGAGGGGTGAGGAGGAGTGAGGAGGGATGAAGAGGAGTGAGGAGGGATGAAGAGGGGTGAGGAGGGGTGAGGAGGGGTGAGGAGGGATGAGGAGGGATGAAGAGGGGTGAGGAGGGGTGAGGAGGGGTGAGGAGGGATGAGGAGGGTGAGGTGAGAGTGGTCAGCGCTGGCATGAATGAGGCGGTGAAGGAGACACATGTTAGATTCAGCAGCTGAATCACGAGCATGACGGATCACAGTCAGACTGAGAATCACTGAGAGGACTCCAGTGGTCCGGTCTTCCCCACATCCATGACACCAGGAGAGAGAACCAGGAGAGAGGACCAGGAGAGAGGACCAGGAGAGAGGACCAGGAGAGAGGACCAGGAGAGAGGACCAGGAGAGAGGACCAGTAGAGAGGACCTGGAGAGAGGACCAGTAGAGAGGACCAGTAGAGAGGACCAGGAGAGAGGACCAGGAGAGAGGACCAGTAGAGAGGACCAGGAGAGAGGACCAGTAGAGAGGACCAGGAGAGAGGACCAGTAGAGAGGACCAGTAGAGAGGACCAGGTGAGAGGACCAGGAGAGAGGACCAGGAGAGAGGACCAGTAGAGAGAACCAGTAGAGAGGACCAGGAGAGAGGACCAGGAGAGAGGACCTGGAGAGAGGACCAGTAGAGAGGACCAGTAGAGAGGACCAAGAGAGAGGACCAGGAGAGAGGACCTGGAGAGAGGACCAGTAGAGAGGACCAGGAGAGAGGACCAGGAGAGAGGACCAGTAGAGAGGACCTGGAGAGAGGACCAGTAGAGAGGACCAGTAGAGAGGACCAGGAGAGAGGACCAGGAGAGAGGACCAGTAGAGAGGACCAGGAGAGAGGACCAGTAGAGAGGACCAGGAGAGAGGACCAGTAGAGAGGACCAGTAGAGAGGACCAGGAGAGAGGACCAGGAGAGAGGACCAGGAGAGAGGACCTGGAGAGAGGACCAGTAGAGGAGGACCTGGAGAGAGGACCAGTAGAGAGGACCAGTAGAGAGGACCAGGAGAGAGGACCAGGAGAGAGGACCTGGAGAGAGGACCAGGAGAGAGGACCAGTAGAGAGGACCAGGAGAGAGGACCAGTAGAGAGGACCAGGAGAGAGGACCAGTAGAGAGGACCAGGAGAGAGGACCAGGAGAGAGGACCAGGAGAGAGGACCAGTAGAGAGGACCAGGAGAGAGGACCAGGAGAGAGGACCAGGAGAGAGGACCAGGAGATAGGACCAGTAGAGAGGACCTGGAGAGAGGACCAGTAGAGAGGACCAGTAGAGAGGACCAGGAGAGAGGACCAGTAGAGAGGACCAGGAGAGAGGACCAGGAGAGAGGACCAGGAGAGAGGACCAGGAGATAGGACCAGTAGAGAGGACCAGTAGAGAGGACCAGTAGAGAGGACCAGGAGAGAGGACCAGTAGAGAGGACCTGGAGAGAGGACCAGTAGAGAGGACCAGTAGAGAGGACCAGGAGAGAGGACCAGGAGAGAGGACCAGGAGAGAGGACCAGGAGAGAGGACCAGGAGAGAGGACCAGTAGAGAGGACCAGGAGAGAGGACCAGGAGAGAGGACCAGTAGAGAGGACCAGGAGAGAGGACCAGGAGAGAGGACCAGGAGAGAGGACCAGTAGAGAGGACCAGGAGATAGGACCAGTAGAGAGGACCAGTAGAGAGGACCAGTAGAGAGGACCAGGAGAGAGGACCAGTAGAGAGGACCAGGAGAGAGGACCAGGAGAGAGGACCAGGAGACAGGACCAGTAGAGAGGACCAGTAGAGAGGACCAGTAGAGAGGACCAGGAGAGAGGACCAGTAGAGAGGACCAGTAGAGAGGACCAGTAGAGAGGACCAGGAGAGAGGACCAGGAGAGAGGACCAGGAGAGAGGACCTGGAGAGAGGACCAGGAGAGAGGACCAGTAGAGAGGACCAGGAGAGAGGACCAGTAGAGAGGACCAGGAGAGAGAGGACCAGTAGAGAGGACCAGGAGAGAGGACCAGGAGAGAGGACCAGGAGACAGGACCAGTAGAGAGGACCAGTAGAGAGGACCAGTAGAGAGGACCAGGAGAGAGGACCAGTAGAGAGGACCAGTAGAGAGGACCAGTAGAGAGGACCAGGAGAGAGGACCAGGAGAGAGGACCAGGAGAGAGGACCTGGAGAGAGGACCAGGAGAGAGGACCAGTAGAGAGGACCAGGAGAGAGGACCAGGAGAGAGGACAAGGAGAGAGGACCAGTAGAGAGGACCAGTAGAGAGGACCAGGAGAGAGGACCAGGAGAGAGGACCAGTAGAGAGGACCAGTAGAGAGGACCAGTAGAGAGGACCAGGAGAGAGGACCAGGAGAGAGGACCAGGAGAGAGGACCTGGAGAGAGGACCAGGAGAGAGGACCAGTAGAGAGGACCAGGAGAGAGGACCAGTAGAGAGGACCTGGAGAGAGGACCAGTAGAGAGGACCAGTAGAGAGGACCAGGAGAGAGGACCAGGAGAGAGGACCAGGAGAGAGGACCAGTAGAGAGGACCAGGAGAGAGGACCAGGAGAGAGGACCAGTAGAGAGGACCAGGAGAGAGGACCAGGAGAGAGGACCAGGAGAGAGGACCAGTAGAGAGGACCAGGAGATAGGACCAGTAGAGAGGACCAGGAGACAGGACCAGTAGAGAGGACCAGGAGAGAGGACCAGTAGAGAGGACCAGGAGAGAGGACCAGGA